GTGTACGGCTAAAATATTAAAACAAGAAATCAAAGCCAGGAAGTCTGCTGGCAGGGTGTCTACCATCCCACAGATAGCAAATGCTAACCGGTCACCACAGAAGTCATCAATACAGAAAGCTGTTGCTGAATATTATGAAAATGAAGAAATGGCATGATGAATTGTGTCCTGTGAATAGAACCGGTATCATGTAAGGATGCTTTTCACTGATGCTTAGATGATATAACAATTGCACAATAAAATTATGGCCAGAAATTTATGCAAGTTAAATTTATGCAAGTTAAATTTTATGCATAAAATTATGGAAGTCTCTCTGAGATCTATGCTTCAGCCTGCATGGAGTGTCACTGTAGTTGACATCGGTGATATATTTTCAGCTGAAAATACCCGTATTACCAGTGCTAAATTGGCATTTTCACTCATACCACTGGGCTTTATAGAAGATAAGATGAAGCACAGCAGTCTGAGCAAGTCCAAAACCATTTTAAACCACTTCTGTGTTCCAGCTCCACTGGGCCTGCTAAGCAACTGAGCCCTGAGGTGGGGCTGGAAGAGGGAGATGCTGCCTAGGAGGCTATGCCATCAGATAGTAGAAAAACAGAAAAGATTTAAAAGTGCTCAAACTGCAGACAGTGAAGCCAGAAGTCTACACTCCCAGTCTTCTCTGCTCTAGTCCCCCACGGTTGACAGCAGGACCCAGGTGTCCTGCATCCCCCACCCACCTGCTCCAACAATTCAACCAAGCAGCCTTGTCAGAACAGTGCAAGCTGACCTACACCCCCCTACTTTTCTGCAGAATTTTGACCCTATATCAGTAACTGACTCATAAGCCTCCCCAGACCTCCACTGACGTCTGATAAACTAAGCATTGTACTTAGCATTCTGGGTGTGCAAGGACATGTACCAGGAAATAGCAAAAACCTGCAGGGACAAAATCAGGAAAGCAAAGATAAAGAATGGGCTGTACCTGACAAAGGAGGTTAAGGACAAGAAGAAGAGGTTCCAGAAGTATGCTGACCAGAAAAGAAGGACCAAGGAAGCTGCAGGTCCTCTGATAACAAACCAGGGGGAACTCCTAACTGAAGATACAGAGAAGACAGACCTACTCAACAGCTACTTTGCCTCAGTCTTCACAAAAGAATAAGCTTCCAGACACCAAATAGGGATCATCTGGATAAGGAAAGGGAAAATTGAGGGAGAAGATTCACAGAAGTTTAGGGCTGGAAGGGGCCTCATGAGATCATCGGGTCCAGCCCCCCTGCTCTGGGCAGGAGAGACTGCTGGGGTCAAATAACCCCAGCAAGGTGTGCATCCAGTCTCTTTTTGAAGATCTCCAGGGTAGGTGCCTGCACCACCCCCACTGGGAGTCTATTCCAGTCTGGCCACACAAACTGTAAAGTTTTTCCTTATATCCAGCCTGAAACCTTCTTCTAGTTTATGACTGTTGCTCCTGGCATTCCTCTGGGGCGCTTTAGTGAACACTTGTTTGCCTAGCCCCTGCCACCCAATCCCCCACAAAGTCTTCTCTTTTCTAGGCTGAATGGTCCCATACCTGTCAGCCTTTGCTTGTATGGCTTGCTCTTCAGCCTCTAATCACGAGTGGCTCTTCTCTGGACTCTCTCAAGCTTCTCCACATCCTTCTTGAAGTGCGGCACCCAGAACTGGACGCAGTACTCCAGCTGCGGCCTCACCAAAGCTGAGTACAGCTGGAGAATAACTTCCTTAGTTTTGCTTGAGATGCATCAGTTGATGCATGACAGTGTATTGTTTGCTCTGCTAATTGTAACATCACACTAGTGGCTCATATTCATGTTATGGTCAATTATGACCCCCAGGTGCCTTTTGGATGTGGTGCTAGCTAGTGTAGCACCACTGAGCATGTAAGTTTGTTGTGGATTTTTCCTCCCCAGATGGAGCACTTTACACTTCTCAGTGTTGAACAGCATCTGGTTCTGGTCCACCCATCTAGATCTGCCTGGATCAGTGAACTTTGCCAGTGTGCTTTTCACCCCCACCTCCAGATCATTGATGTAGATGTTGAAAAGCACTGGTCCAAATACTGAACCCTGGGGGACCCCACTGGCTACCTTCCACCAGATCAACGCAGATCCAGCTATTAGTACTCTCTGGGTCCAACCCCACAGCTTGTTTCTCACTCATCTGATCATTGAATTGTTGAGCCCATAGTCCCCTAGTTTTACCTTGAGAGCCCCATGGGACACCAAGTCAAAGGCCTTCCTAAAGTCCAAGTAAATGACGTTGACCTCATCTCCCTTAAGATAAAAAAGACGGGCAGAGATTTTTTGTTGGGTCTGAATGAATTCAATTCAGCAGGGCCAGATGAGCATCATCCCAGAGTCCTGAAGGAACTGGCAGAGATCTCAGAGCTCTTGGCAACGATCTCCATGAAGTTGGGGGAGATGGGGCAGGTACCAGAGGACTGGAAACGGCCAATGTAGTATCCCCCTTTAAAAAAGGTAAGGAGGAGGACCTGGGGAACTACAAACCAGTTAGCTCACCTAAATACCTGGGAAATTACTGGAGCATATCCTAATGCAATTTGCAAGAATCTGGAGGAGGAAAGGCTGATCACAAGAAGCCAGCACAAATTTATAAAAAGCAAGTTGTGTCAGACAAACCTGATCTCCTTCTTTGACATAGTAACTGGTGGATGAAGGGAATGCTGCGGATACAGTGCATTTGGAATTCATCAAGGCTTTTGACAAGGTCCGGCAGGACCTCACGAATTGGAGAAACATGGGCTGGATAAAACTACTACAAGGTGGATAGATATCTGGATCAGTAGCCATTAACAAAGGGTAATTATTAACAGGTCCATGTCAGAATGGCAGAAGGTTTTGAGTAGAGTCCTACAGGGGTCTGCCCTGGGTCCAATGTTATTCAATGTGTTTATTAATATTTTGGAAGCTGGCATAGAAATCATCTTGAGCAAGTTTGTGGATGACAAAACCACGAAGGATTGTGAACATATTGGAGGATGAGAGTGCAATTCAGAAGGATCTTGGCAGGACTGGAAAGTTGGGCTAGAACTAACAGGATTAAGTTCAATGCAGACAAATGTAAGGTGCTGCACCTCAGCAGGATTAATCAAAAAGACCAACACAAAATGGGGGACACCTGGCTGGATGGCAGCTCTGTGGAAAAGGACTTGGGAGTCTTGGTAGACCACAGACTCATCATGAGTCTGCAGGGTAATACAGTCACACAAAATACTAATGCAGTTTTGGGCTACATCACTAGAAGCATTAGGTGCAAGGCAAGACACAGGAGGTGATAGTGCCTCTACTTGGCACTGGTTAGGCCTCAGCTGGAGTACTGTGTGCAGTTCTGGGCTCCACATTTTAAAAAAGACATGGAGAAGTTAGAGAGGGTCCAGAGGCAGGCAACAAAGATGATCAAGAGCTTGGAAGGCAAATCATAAGGAGAGGCTGAAGGAGCTAGGTACATTCAGCTTGTGGAAATGACGCTTAAGAGGGGATATGATAGCAGTCTTAAGATACTTAAAGGGCTGCTGTAAAGAGGGAAAGAACCTTTTCTCCCTTGCTAAAGGAAGGAGGACATGGACCAGTGGCTTGAAGTTGCAGCAAAGTAAATTTAGATCGGATAGCCAAAAAACCTTCTTCACTGTTAAGAGCAGTGAGGCAGAGAAACAGACTGCCTAGCGAAGTTGTGGACTCTCCATCACTGAAGGTGATCAAGAAGAGGTTCGACAGTCACTGGTTGGGGATAATATAGGTATAGCTATGCCTATTTTCTACCATGGGTATTTCCCATGATTCTGAGCTTTGCTGGGTGCTCTGATCCCCCCACGCCCCACATCCTATTAAATGTGTGAGAGTGATTTTAAGCCTCCCCAGAGGCTTTGGGTGTTGGCAACAGCTAAGGCTGAAGACTTCAGCTGGGGTGTGTCAATTTTCCTGCTATGAGCAAAGCCAGAGGTTCCTGGGTAGAGGGTCTTGCCCCTCCGCTCAGGTTCAAACTGATCATCGTATTTGGGGTCAGGAAGGAATTTCACCCCATGGTCAGTTTGGTATGGATTGTGGGAGTTTTTGCTCTCTTCTGTGGTGGAGGGCATGATGTTCTATCAGGGACCTCTCAAGCATTTATTGACATTTTATAGAAACAGGACATTGGCTGCTGTGGCTCCCCTGCTTTACCTGTGGCAGGTTAGGGTGTTAAATCTATGTTGTGTCAGGGTTGAGGGCAGTCTGCTGTCGAGTTTATATGATGATTGTACAGGATGGTTTGGACAGGGAGAAGCCTGCCTCAGGCAGGTGGTTGGACTAGATGGCCTATGGAGGTCCCTTCCAGCCCTACTTCTCTATGACCATGTTTCTATGACTATGAACTCTTGGATTCACATACCCTGGGGAGGAGGGTGGGGGGAAGGAGCAGAAAGGGGTAAGGAAGGGCCATGTGTACAGAGTCACTGTCTCTGTCATTTCAGAACAGCTGCTTTCATTGCCAGTTGCTACTTCCCTGAAGAACATTCAATAGCCACACATTTTGAGAGGCTTTGGGGGCTACAGGGACCACTCAGAGACCAAATGCAAGGTGGTATTTTTATCTCTATTTGAAACCCTCCATCTACTCAGTATCCATTCTTCCTTCCTCGCTTAGCCACAACCCTCCACCTCCTTACTCCTACTCAAATTACTGTGCTGTAGGAGGGCACAGACTCATTGCTCCACAGAGAGAGTTCCTGCTGCCTTCTACCCTGCGTGGAGCTTCTGGTGGGATGTTAGGGAGCCCTTTGCCATGTAGGTCTTCCCACAGACAGTACACATGTAGGGCCCGTCTCCTGTGTGGATGCTCTCATGTAAAACGAGGGCTGAGCGTTTACTGAAGCTCTTCCCACACTCGGGGCATCTGTAGGGTCTCTCATGGATCCCCTGGTGTCTGATGAGGTAGGATCGCTGACTGAAGCTCTTCCCACAGGCTGAACATGTGTATGGTTTCTCGTCTGTATGGATTCTCTGATGTATAACAAGGTAGGATCTCTCGCTGAAGCTCTTCCCACACTCTGGGCATGTGTATGGTTTATCTCCCGTGTGAATTTTCTGATGGGAAACCAGCCCTGAGCTCCGCTTGAAGCTCTTCCCACAGTCAGGACAGCTGTAGGGTTTCTCCCCTGTGTGGCTTTTCTGATGGTCATTCAAGTTCCACCTGTGGCTGAAACCCCTTCCACAGTCAGGACATTTGTAGGGCCACAAACCTGTGTGGACTCTCTGGTGGGAAATCAGGGCAGAGCGCTGCTTAAAGTCCTTCCCACAATCAGGACATTTGTAGGGCCTCTCCCCTGTGTGGACTCTCCGGTGGACACTCAGCTGCACGCGCTCCTTGAAGCCCTTCCCGCAGTCGGGGCATTTGTGGGGCCTCTCCCCCGTGTGGACTCTCCGGTGTGAACTGAGGCTCGAGTACTGTTTGAAGCCTATCCCACAGTCAGGGCATTTGTAGGGCTTCTCCCCCGTGTGGATTCTCTGGTGGCAAACCAGGATTGAGTTGTTATTGAAGCCCTTCCCACAGTCAGCACATTTGTAGGGCCTCTCCCCCGTGTGGACTCTCCTGTGTGAACGGAGATGCACGCTCTGCGTGAAGCCCATTCCACAGTCAGGGCAACTGTAGGGCTTTTCCCCTGTGTGGACTCTCTGGTGGCGAATCAGGTCCCAGCGATGCTTGAAGCCCTTCCCGCAGTCAGGACAGCTGTAGGGCCTCTCCCCAGTGTGGACTTTCTGGTGTGTAACGAGGGACGAGCTGCCCATGAAGCTCGTTCCGCACTCCAGGCAGCGGTAGGGCCTCTCCCCTGTATGGACCCTCTGGTGTTTGCGGAGATTTGAAGTCCGGCTGAAGCCCTTGCCACAGTCAGGGCACTTATAGGGTCTCTCTCCTGCCTGGATGCGCTGGCGGATGCTAAGGCCCGACTTCTTTAAGCTCCTCTCACAGGTGAGGCCAGGGTACAGGTTGTCTTCCATGTGGATGAATGGGTGGATGATGAGGTAGCTCCCCTGCTGGACTGGAGTTTCATTCAGGTGCTCCTGATTCCCCGTTGGGTGAGTGTCATCAGCCAGTGTGATCCTTGGGCAGTTTTCCAGCAGCCTTTCTGCCCCACATAACCTCTCACATTCTTTTTTCTGCTTGGTGTATGGAGATGTGTCCCCTCTGAATTCCTCCCAGAGCATGGTGTAGGGTTCCCCCGGCTGCAGATCTCCCTTCTGAGGACTCTCTTCCATGCTCTCATTCACCATCCCATCCCCTTCTGAGACAGGAAACGAATCCAGATGGATGCCTGTGCCAGGGAGAGAGGAAACTTCAAAAAGGGACACAGGGGGGAAAATAATAATAAAAGACGCTTGACAATAGCTGTGAGGGTGTCTAAACAGCCCTTCTACATCCCAGAGAATAGGAGGCAATTTCTGCCTCTACACCTGCTCACAGCACTGAGGAAGAAGGCACTTCTGCTTGGTCCCAGTCAGGGCAGAAGGGAAACCATGAGTGACATCTGCCACCTGCAGCAGGTTGGAGTGCTGTTGTAGCTGTGATGGTCCAGAAAACACGCGAGAAGCAAGGGGATTTTGTCTGCTGTCTTCTTTGGACCAACTTTATGACTGGGAGAAATGCTAGACAAGTTTCAGGCACCTAAAGAAAGGCACTCTGTAGTTCAAAGTTTGTCTAACATCTCTCCCAACTATATAATGGGTTTTCAAGAAAAAGATATCATCAAAACCTGCCTTGCTTCTCACAAAAAGATCTGGCACAGACCAGAGAAAATCTTAAGCCAGGTGAGATGAGGCACAACTCATGGAAAGAAAAGTAGTTGTTTAAGCCAATAATGGATGTCAGCCATCTGTTTAACCAGTTTCTCACCTGTGCAGGTGTTTCTTGGGATTTCCCATTCCTTTGAGTCCTGGAGATCTGTGACCCACAGCTCTTCCCCCTGTTCCAGCCAGGAGATCAAGCTGGTATTGGGAACTGGGAATCCTGCTGCAGTGAAAGAAAGCAGGTCAGACCAGGACTTTACTGTTGTGATCGCCTCACATGGAGACAGCACAAATATGCCAACTTTCTAGGCCTAGAGCCAGTTGTGGGACACAAGATGTAACATCTTGGCTGAAGTGCATTTTTATGCACAGGTGCACAAGCAGGGACATACAGCACAGTGTGGAGGCTCTGAATGCGGCCCAGATCAGCTCATCCACTGTGTCTGAACAGAATGTGGTGGGAACAGATTTATCACATGCAACCTTCAGCTCAGGGGGCTGATCCCTCTGAAATGCTGCACCACAGAGATCCCACCACTTCTAATACCCCAGCTGGCAAGAATCCTTACCCAGTGAGGTCACAGCCTCATAGTTCTCCAGCATGACACCCCTGTAGAGGGCTCTCTGACTGGGGTCCAGCAGAGCCCATTGCTCCTTGGTGAAATACACAGCCACCTCCTCGAAGGAGACGCACACCTGGGGATAAAAACAGAGTTTCCCCGCTCAGTACCTGCTGTCCCATCCACAATCCCATCACCACAGTCACAGGGAAGTTGGGAATAGCCTTCTCTTTCCAGAGACCAGGAACTCCTGGGGAGTTGCAGCATTTTTGAAAGCTTTCCTTAACAACAAACTTGTTCTATGGTGAAATTTTGATGTCAGAATATGCTGATTCTGGGACTTGACTTGGTGTTTGTCGAACTCACCCATCTCACAAGGACTAGTGCAGAACTCTATTTTGGCATCACTGGCATCTCACTTTCTTGTAAAGGAACTGCCCTTTTTCAGTAGGACCATCATTCTGGCATGTGGAAGCGAGGCTGTCCTTACTAGAGGGCCACTAGCCACCATTATTTTTTAGGAGACTGAAGGTAAGCTCTCCTAAGGGAATAAAACTGTGGCTCTGCAGTTCAAAGATATTATAAGAAATTGTGGGCTACCAGTGAAGCTATATGGAGCTGAAAAGGCAATGGGAGATGTCTGGCATTTAGGAAAAGGCCAAGGGGTAGAGGAAAATAAAGAGTCCAAAGCCTTTTGGGGCAGCAGATGCACAAGCTCAGAAACTATAAGAGGAACAAAAGACGAACCTACAGGAAGGTTGGAAGAAGAGACTGTGTGACAGACAGAAGAAGTCATACATATACAGGAAGGGTTGAATAGGAAAAGAGCAGCAACCCCCTTCCAGCAGGAGGAAGTCAGAGCCAAGTCTCCCTGGGGGCAAGCATCAGACAAACCACATTTGCATGTGAGCACTGGTTCAGGTGATGCACACATATGCATCACATAGAACACAACAACACAACATACATTTTTCTTTAGTTAAAGAGAAATGAGATACTTCACTAATGTGCTAGGGAGCTAGTACTATATTAGTCAGTCTAATAACAAAGCAAAAACATATATGACTATTGGAATATGCACTGATTTCTAGATGATATGTAATGTTTACAAAAGCACAACTAAGCAAAATACGGTCAAAAGATATTATGGCATTAGTCCTGTAGTTAAATGTACATCTCTCATTCAGATTCATAAAACAAAATCTACCCGTCCTGAGTGTCGAGAGTGCCTCCAGTGCTTCACTGTCAGTCATCTCTACCACTGCCCTTTTCCAATGTTACTAGTGTATTTGTTATTATAGTAAAAATATAAAAATATGTTGTTTACTATTCACTGAGGAAAATTTGATGCCAGGTATCCTGCCATCACCACAGACTGCTGCTTTTGGATGATGGACACATCTAAGTGGCTATGCAATACCTGATGCCCATCTTCTCCGGGCTGACTTCACATCTATCTATCTATCTATCTCTGAAGTCAACCCAGAAAAGTTGGGCATGCGGTATTGCATAGCCACTTTGACGTGTCCATTATCATATTGATGGTCTATCTTTGACTCAGCCTGAATCAGCAGATACACAGGACCAGCTGGTTTGACTGGGATTGGATCACAGCATGAATCTAGAGCAAAGCTTGATCCAGGGTTGTCCAGGTGGTTCGCCGGCTGCACGTGGCCCATGAGGGGTTAGGCTGCAGCCCCTGGGCTCCTGCTCCCCCGCATTGCTCTGGCTGCAACAACATCCAGTCTCCAGGGCTGGGCCCTGCTTCCTGCCACTGCTCAAGTGGGCAGCGCAGCGAGGCGTGGGGAGCTGGGGTGAACCAGGGGCAGTGCCGGTACACGGTGCAGCAGCATGCGTGTGGCAGGTCTCATACGATATGGCATCAGGAGGGCACGCAGCCCGAGGGGGGCTCACTGCCGCGCGGCCTGTGAACACACAGCCCGCGCTGAAGCTGGGCCCCGGCGAGTTTGACGGCCCTGCTTTAACCCACCTGCCCGGATGCGTCGTGAGACGCCGCCGCCCCTCCGAAGGTTTGGTACGTGATAGCAATGCTGGCAGGTGCGCGTGGCAAGTGGGCAACTCCCGACAGCCGTGTGTGAGCAAGGCCGGCCGCGGGGACGCGGGTTTCTGACGGGACGTTGAAGAGGGAGGGAGGGAGGTGCGGCGCCCACGACCTGCGCCCGAGCCCAGGACCAATGCGGGAGCGGCGCTGCGAGCTGCTCCGCGCGCCCAGGGCTTGAGCCCGGTGCCCAAAGCAGGATCTCCCCGCGATTCACGGGAGATCACACCCGCCCCAACAGGACGCTGCCGGCCGTCGGGGAAGACCCTTTCTCGGGACTCGGCGGCGCTGACTGACCTGCAACGAGTCCTCCCCAGACATCTCCGCTGCTTTCCCGCCGCGCCCG